AAACAGAAAAACAACACAATTAATATAAATCACATATAAACAATAACACACAGGATTAAAAAACCTATGGGATTAGGATCAAGTGCACACAGTTAACTATAGACTAGTTTAATAGCCTATGCAATGCCAGAAATACAGCTCAACGGTGTAAACATTAGAAAATGTTGACCATTTCCGCTCCCTTGGCAGCCACCTCTGCACAAAAGTCAACACTGACACTGAAATGCAACACCGTCTGAGCTCTGCGAGTGCAGCATTTTTCTGAATGAAGCAGAGAGTGTTTGAGGACCGGGACATCCGTAGGGATACCAAGGTGCTTGTTTATAAAGCTATTGTCCTCCCAACCCTGCTATACGCCTGCGAGACGTGGACTGTCTACAGACGTCACATGCAACTCCTGGAATGATTCCATCAGCACTGCCTCCGGAAAATCTTGCAAATTTCTTGGGAAGACAAGCGGACAAATGTCAGCGTGCTGGAAGAAGCAAAGACCACCAGCATTGAAGCGATGGTCCTCCGCCATCACCTCTGCTGGATGCCCGACCACCGTCTCTCAAAGCAGTTGCTCTACTCCAAACTCAAGAATGGAAAACGGAATGTTGGTGGGCAGGAAAAGAGATTTAAAGATGGGCTCAAAGCCAACCTTACAAACTCTGGCATAGACACTGAGAACTGGGAAGCCCTGGCCCTTGAGGACTCCAGCTGGAGGTCAGCTGTGACCAGCAGTGCTGCAGAATTTGAAGAGGCATGAATGGAGGGCGAAAGAGAGAAATGTGCCAAGAGGAAGGCACGTCAAGCCAACCCCGACCGGGACTGCCTTCCACCTGAAAACCAATGCCCTCACTGCGGGAGAACATGCAAATCAAGAATAGAACTCCACAGTCACCTACAGACCCACAAGTACACTCCTTGCAAGAAGCAGGAATATTGCATTCAAAGCACCCCTGACAGATGGCCATCCAGATAGGGCTCCACAGTCACCTATGGACCCACTGCCAGGACACTACACTTGGAGGACCATCATCCTCGGACTACCAGGGATCTCCTAAATAAGTAAGTAAGTTTAATAGGATTTGTATAGTAGTCAAAATAACACTGAAATGCATAACAGTAGGAGAATGGCTTGCCAATAGCAATGCTTTAGGCAGGTATAGAATGCATATAATCAACAGGAATGTTCACATGAATATAAAAAGTGCTCAAAAGACTAAAAGTACAATCCAAAGACCCAAAGACCTCAACGGTGGAGCAGGAAGAAGGTAACGTGGTACATGTTACAACAGTTGTAAAGGCAGACAAAGGCTGCAACAGATTGAAAAGCCATTGTTGTCCTGTTAACCACAGTACTGGATGGGACCCTCACTCTGTGAAGACTGTGTGTTGACCACAAAGGAAGGCCATCATACTCAGACAAGGGATCGCCTAAGTAAGTAATGTGTATGTGTTTGTGTGTGTATATATAGTAGTGTATATATGTGTGTGTGCGTATATATGTGTATGCATACATGTGTATATATGTGTGCTCAAATATATGTATGTGTACGTATGTGTGTATGCATATATATATGCATGCATGTGTTTATATATATATATGTATATGTGTATATATTTGTGTATATGTGTGTGCATATGTGTGTATATATGTCTATATGTATGCATATTTGTGTGTATACATATATGAATGTGTATATATGTGTGCACATATATATGTATGCGTATATATGTGTGCATGTGTGTATATATGTGTGCTTTTATGTGTGTATATATATTTGTATGTGTATATATATATGCATATATATGTGTATGTATATGTGTGTATGTATGTGTGTATATGTGTGTGCGTATATGTGTATGTGTATATGTATGTGTGTGCATGTGTATTGTATGTATATATGTGTTTATGTGTGTATATATTTGTATATATGTGTTTATATGTGTTTGTGTATATAAATGTGTGTGTATATATGTATGTGCATATGTATATGTATGTTTGTATGTGAATATGTGTGTATATGTGTAGATGTGTGTATATGTACATGTGTATATGTATATATGTGTGTATATATATGCATGTGTGCATATATGTGTGTATATGTGTGCATATGTATATGTATGTTTGTGTGCGCATGTGTATATGTATATATGTGTGTATATGTGTGTGTGCATGTGTGTTTGTATGTGTGTATATGTGTGCATATGGATATGTATGTTTGTGTGCATATGTGTGTGTGCATGTCTATGTTTGTATGTGTGTATATGTATATTTGTGTGTGCATGTGTATATGTGTGCATGTCTATGTTTGTATGTGTGTATATGTGTGCATATGGATATGTATGTTTGTGTGTATGTGTATATGTGTGTATGTTTGTATGTGTGTATATGCATGTTTATGTATGTGTATATGTATATGTGTGTGTGTGTATGTTTGTATGTGTTTATATGTATGTTTGTGTGTGTATGTGTATATGTATACATTAGGCTTGGGCAATCCATGGTTCTAAATGGTTCTAAAGTACTTACAAAACTAAAGTTCTGGTGGTGAAAATTTCAGAACTCTAACAAAACTCTCAAAATTTCATAATAAATGGCAGTTCCTAATTGGTTCTGTCATAAAA